GATTAATAAACACACCACTTCATATTTCTTAGCACGTAGGGTGTGCTCTCTTTTATCTCAGGCATCTAAGTGTATCTGAAAAACCTAAATATCAATTAGGTAAATTTCTTTTATAAATGTTTCATTCTTTAGAGTAAATAGGCACAAATATTTTGTTTATACAAAATTTGATGTGTTGTTTCATATCAATGTTAAAAGAGGCCTGCTGGGAAGCACTAGTACAGATTTTTAAATGGCCAGGCTAAAGTCCTTGCAGTTACGAATCTTATATTCCCGAAAGCCATAGTCTTTGGATTTAATCTAGACATATCTGTATGTGTAAGGAGAAATTATGAAAGAATTACAGAGCAGAAGGGGAGATTAACTGAAGAAATATACGTTTTCTACTTTACGTTTTACTCTAATTGTCAGAGAAGATTCATCTCCTATCTAAGGGAGAGAAAATAGAAAAAAATACACGCTAATTATGATGATTGATTTTTATGGTACTACACTAAAACCCTATTGGATATATTTTAATTTCTTGCCTTTGAATCCTAGTAATTCCATAGGGTGTAATTTCATAGGATATGCTATGTGGATTGCTGTTGACTTGCTAAGGAAATGTGACAGCTCAAAGGTGTATATTTTTAGTGTGCCACTTGCACAAATGAACATTAAATAAAGGAAGTTTATGGGCATATATGTGATGCAATATAATATTCTCATTACATATTTATAATAACTAGCCATTACCCTTATCTTTCCTGTAAAATAAAAGTAAAAATAATGTAAGGTATAGTAATGCATAAAAAATCCTAAAAAAACTTGTCCCCATCTTTATTTTATTATACTCTCTTGTATCATATAATATCTTACAAAAAGCAAATTAGTATTAAAAACTGTGTACAGCAACTTTATTTTAGTAGTATAAACATTATCTTTAAAATTCTTATATAATTTTATAACTTCCATAAATTTTCACTATTTATATTCAAAATTCATAAGAGACCATTAAGAAAGTCACACAAAATCACTTTGAAAACCCTCAAAATTTTGACCACACGGCAAACTTTTCAGTTCTCTTGGATTATTTCTATCACTTTTTTTTATTAAACCATGTAAAGGGACAATTTCATTTGCTTAAATTATTGTTTATCAGTATCTCAAATGACTTATTAGAATAAAGTTAACAAATTATATTAAAAATTCCTAATAAGTACTTTTGTAAAATTCTCTAGATAATTTAGATGGTTCACTGTTGTTGTTGTGTGTACCGTTAAGTTGAAATGGACTTATAACTTACCCTCCAATAGGTTTTCAAAGGCAGTTTAATCATACTGGTGAAGACTGCCCATCTTTCTCCTGACAGAGCAGCTGCTGGATTTGAATTACATGTTTATAAGGTATCAGAGCAACTCCTTATAATTATATATATATTTATATACACACACGTA